CCTCTAAACACAGGACAATGTCGCAGCAGCATCACCCTGCTGCCTTCACAGCTCTATCTCAGAATCTTCTGAGATGAGGACAGGAGCGAGGAGAGCATCCCAACGCCAATTCCAAGGGAGAGCAGCTGTAGTCTTGTTTTTCACTAGTGCCCAAATGGACCCTGCTCCCCTTTTACCAGACAGTAACTAGTAATTCGCACCCATGTGGAAACCTGTAACTAGATACAGGCATTCTGCTAAATTTTGGTAAGTCTTCACAAGGGGATGCACTGCATATTTACATAATTATATAGTAGTGTTTCACATATCTATTTTCTATAGCTATCATTAAAAAGGTTGCTGACATTTATCTTAGGTCATGTAGTCAATTGGGTCAAGGTGCACTGAAAGGAAACCAGAACACTGCAAGAACTATTAGAAATCATTTCATTTTTAAGTGTTATTGAAAAGGAAGTATTAACTACAAGTCAACAGATTGGTTCTGGCTACCACAGGTCAGACTGCCAAAGTAACGGCGACAACTACCAGGACTTCCCAAGAACCAGCACCCGAGGGACTGACACGGGGCTGTGATGGAGGATGGTCAGGAAATCTGGAGAAGGCTCTGCACCAGAGGGCAGTGGGCGTGGAGTGGGCTCCCGGGGCTGCAGACACGGCACCGAACTTGTAGGGTTCAAGAAGCATCTGGACAACGCTCTCCTGTGGTCTGGTTTTCACACGTTCCTGCATGGAGCCAGAAGTTGGACTCCGTGATCCGTAGGGGTTCCTTCAAACTCAGGATATTCTGCAATTCTAATCAGGCTGAGCAGGAGGGAATACACTATTAAATGGCTATTGGCATTATGAAGCCTCTGAATACTTTCAGAAATCTAACCCTGTTATCCCACCATGCTTTCTATCAATTAATAATTTCAGAAGGTTTTCCATTTTGTTCTGAAAAACACCAACTGATAAATTTTCAGAGGAAAGAGGAAAGCCTTTTCTGCCTGGCTTAACTTCATTTGAATAAACTTTCTGAATTCCTATTCCTTATGGTCCAGAAAATGCTACTTCTATTATTTTAAATAATACAATAAATCTGAAATTTGTAAGCATTCAATTAACCTCAAGTCAGACATACATTGTTTAGACCACTTAAGCAGTGCCATGTTAATAGGGTTCACTGACATAGCAATAACTTTAATAGATTACATTACCAATTTAAAACAAAGCATTTATCTTGAACACCCCCAAAAAAAATCTTTTTAAAGTTAAAACACCTAGAATTTGTGAAAAAATGACTTAAGCCCCAGACAAAATCCCCCAGTACTGAACCGATCTGGAGTCATGCCATTCAACTAATAATTCTGCCCATTGTAGGAGGTATGTTATGTCTGATTTTTAATTATGCTTTGTGTAAATATCCCCAGAGGCTTATGCAATAGGTAGAAGCTTAAGTAAGGCAAGCTGGAGGAGGCAGGCGGCCTGCTCTGGAGAGAGAGCCCGAGACATGTGCTGGTGGGCTCTGGTTGGTATGGGGCAGCTGAGCCCTGAGGAGCACAGGGGCATTTGCTGCACTTACACACTCATCCCAAAGGCCACGTACCAAACAGAGCTCCGAGATCCTTCAGAATATTTGTCACCACAGCTGGCTTCCCATACTTGATTCACAACAGATCAGCAAACCACACAATCTTGCAAGCACTAATAGCGCCATATTTATCACCTGCTTCAGCTCCACATGCCTACGGCCCAGCTTTCTTCCAAGACAGAGTTTGGTAGAAGTCCGCACGCCCTGCAGCCGGAAGTCTTCCACCACTGAGGACCCTATGGATTCCACATACGTGCACTATTAATCACTGCCCTGACAGCATGCCTTCACCCTGACCTGCAGGCTCCGCAACCAGTATCACAGAGCCTGCTTTGCACTCATGCCTTTGGCACCACTGTTAAGTGCCAGCAGAACTCACAAGGCCTGGTAAGAACGCACTCAAGGATGCACCAAAATTTCACTCCAAGCAAGTAGCCAACTGCATCCAAATCCCAAACTGCTTCCTAAGAACCGAGGCCAGAGCCACTCTGCTGCTTAGAACACAACTGGAAGTCTCTCCAAGCACCCAGAGAACCATGGCTTCCCTTCTATTCTACACAAGAACAGCAGAAAGCCTCCTGGCCTCCTCTTTCCATGGCCAAAGGCATGCTTCAGCTTGCAATTGTTTCTGTTTGCATGTGATAATTTTAACTAGTAATTCTAGAAAATACTCCATTTGAATTTTTCCTTACAGACCTCTCACAGCTCAGTCACACAGCAGCCAGTCCAGCCTTTGCTTTCCCAAGCAGCTGAAGCAGCTGCCTGGTGCCTCTCGCAAGCAGGCACTGATCTGCCACACCAGAAGGCTGCATCGTTCCTCTCCATTTTGCAACACATGATAAACACAGCTCCCACTCCTCACTGGCCTCCCCTGTAAAAACGGGACAGCATTCTCACCAAAACTACCTGGAAACCCAATTTAAGTAACACAATACATCTTCTGAAAAGTTAAGCTAAAATACATTATTGCTCTTTACCTTCTCTAGACAAAAATTTTATTATACTCATCTTCCTGAAATTCTCTGATGACTTTTTTCTACTCAATCTGCCATTTTAACAACATCTAATTACTTTAGCATATAACACTCAGACTAATACAAAGAAACAAAAACCAAATACCAATGCACAGCCTACAGAACACTGCACCATGATTTTCATGGCTTCAAAAGTAGAGAAAAGAGCACAGATTAGGGCCTCATGGGAAACGCTCCCATTATTTATTTCATTCTCCCTTCTTATTCCCACTAATTTCACACAGTGGTAGCAGCTGAAGGCATACACGCAGATCAGTGACTCATGACATGAGACCACAGTCTAAGCAGTCACTGGGCTTTCAAAGCAGTGCTTCTCAAGAACTGCAGTTTTCCATCCCAATAGTTCAGTTGTCTCGTCTTTGTTCAAAAAACAAAACAACCAGGACAAAAAAAAGGCAAAAAGTCAAAACCCTAAAAAGTCCACAGCACATTGGCAACAGGTGCTTCTTGCGTTCTCACACTCACAGAAGAAAATGGAAAATTCACTTCTGGCCCTCACAACCATATTCCACAACCTACCAAGGCTGGAGAGACTCAAAGCACATCTTTCCCATCCATGCCTCTTCTGCACATTGCTCCCCACAGAGACACAAAACCCAAGAATCCCCCAAGCAAGTTCAGTCTCAGAGATTGGCTCAACTCCTCTAACCTCACTCTGCAAATCTCCAAGTGCCTTAACTTCAACTTAATTTTGATGATACATTTCAAAAAATGCTCTTCTCAGATTTTTCAAACAAACAATATTAGTTTATCAGCTGACTGTGAAACTTCTTTTTTCTTCCTACCTTAAAGCTTGCTATTACTCAGAAGACCAATTGAATGTTTATGAACACCTGAGCTGCTCAATCTTCACATCCTTTAAATAATAGGGTGAGCTGAAAAAGAATTGCAGAGCTCCACCATTTCCATCTTGCAAGGAGGGCAACAAACATTGTTACATAGTCCATTCCACATCATTTTCCAGGTTCTGTAACTACTGTTGCACTTTCAAGGATACATTAACATGTGAGCCCGCAGACATAAAAGACATCCCAGGCAGTGGAAACTCCTGAGTTACTTGTGTGCTATCCATTCCAGACCGGCCTACCACCTTTCCAAAAGAGGAAGACCACTCAACATGTAATCCTGTACCACCTCATGCTCACAACACCAGACTGCTATCATTCATCTCAAGTGAGTTTTATGTGCTTAATCATTAGATTTTGAGCATACTTATGTGTCCAGTGTCAACCCACAAGCAAAGCAGAAATGTGGGTCTCTGTCAGTCTAATCACTTTTTAATTCAGAGCTCAGCTGGGCTGGGCAAAAGACGAACAATGGAAGGGAGAAAATTTAGACATACGAGGAAAGATGTAGGCTCCTCTTCTTCCATTTCCTCCAAAGAAACACGTGCGCACACTTAAGTACCCACTCCTGGCCCTCATATTGCACTGGCTATCATCTTCCTCATCCTGCAGAAGCACACAGAGGCACAAAACACCGAAGCTACAACATGCTTCCAAGTGATGGCCACTTTCCCCCAACTCCCACTAAAACAACATTAAGTGCTACAGCAGTGATTGCAATCCTAGCACTTCTTTCTAATTTACAACAAAGGCAGTCAGATTCACCCCTTGGTGTGCAACGAGTGCACAGATGAGGCCACATCTTCCTAGGCTACACAAAGCAGTCCCAGATGCAAGTTTCAAGAGCCAAAATGCTCCAATTGGGCAGGAATAGGGCTCTAGTCCCTCCCACACACCCTTCCCTTGGAACCCTCCACAGGTTTGGCAGATCAAAGGGAAACACCTCCATTACCCTCTTCCATTTCTTCCAGAACGAGGACGTCGGGCAAAGACCACTTCTACTCCACAGAGCCGCACCTACCAGGAATTCAGCAGTCTGGGAACCGTGGATTCCCCCACCATAGCCCAGCGCGACAATACTGGGGGCTGCAGGCTTCATTCCATTCCCGCGGCAGAAGAGATGCTCTCCGCTCGCGGGAGAACCTCACCTAACGTTCGGAACACGGCTCCAAGTGGAAACCTCTCCCTGAGGTCGGCCCGCGCCCACACTCCGCTCGCCGAGAGGAGGCCGCGAGCGCAGGGCCCGGCCGGCCCGGGCGGAGAGGAACGGCCGGGCCCACCCGCGGCGGGGCCGACTGCACTCTCCCGTCCCCCGGCCCCGGCGGAAGGCCCCGTGCCGGGCGCAGGGACCCCGCCCCCGCGGCTCTGGTGCGGCGGCTCACGCCTACGGCCGCGGTGAGGCCCGGCGGGCGCAGGAGAGAGGAGCGGGCCGCGACCCCCAGCGCCGGGCGGGTCGGCGCAGAGCGCCCGGGGCCGGCGGCGACGGCCGGGCGCGGCGGGAGGCCGGCTCTGTCAGAAAGCGGCGGCCGGGCTCGGCCGCGGAGCGCTCACCTCGGACACCTCGTCCTCGTCGCTGCCGGAGCCTCCACCGCCGCCCCCGCTCCGCAGCACGGCGGCCGCCAGCTTGAAGTCGAGGGCGGCCTCACCGGCCGCGGGCGCGACGGGGCCTCCGGGACCGCCGGGCCCGGCCTCCCCGAAGAGGCGCACGGCCCTCAGCCCTAGCGGGGAGGGCCCAGCCGCGACGGGCGGCTCGGCGGCGAGCGGCGCGCGGGGAGCGACCGAGTCGATCTCCTCGTCGCCGAGGGGGGCGGCGGTGCCGTCCGTGAGCATCGCGCTGATCCGGGGCCGCCACCGCTCGCAGAGCCCAGCCGTCGCCGTCCCTCACGGCACCGCAGCAGCGCCACTAACTTCTCACACCCTACCCGGCCGCGCTGCCGCGCCGCCCACCCGCCGCGCTGCCCGCACCCATTGGCCTGGGGCGTCCCACGACCGCGCGCTATTGGGCCGAGCTGCCGCCACTCTGAGTGACGTCACGCGTTCCCAGCATGCTGCCTTGAGAGCACACGCCGAGGCGGTTTGAGCCCCCTGCCCCGCCCCGCTTCCCTGGCTTCGCTTCCTGAACTTTTCGGGAGCCGATTGGCTACTCGGAACGTCAGTCACACGTCCCGCCTGAGTTTCGGGCGACGATTGGGTCGCCGAGCTGTCTAACAACTGTAATACGAGAACCCGAGATTCTGGTTGCCTATAAGGCCCGTCGCTCACAACGCGCGCTGTCTGACGCCGTCCGATTGGCTCTTGCCGCGGCATATCCCCTCCCCTCCCTTTCGCCGCCCTCTGAAGGGCTCCATCAGCGCAGAAGCCGACACCGCCCCTCCGCCTCGAGCGCCCACTGGCGCGCGGCGCTGCCCGTCAATGCGCGTAACCCGGCCGTGAACGGCCCGCCCCGCCGCCCCCAGCGAGCGCGCTATTGGTCCCACACGCTGTCACTCACGTCACCTGCGGCCCCGCCAGTGACGACGCCCGTGCGGCCACGTGGCCTCTGTCAGCGCGTGGTGTGCGGGCCGGGCGCGGTTTTCCCTCCGGAAGGAAGAGCCGAGAGAACGCAGGGTCAAAGCATGGTTTATTCAAATGCCAATTATCTTTATCCTGTAATTTCAGTGAGAGCTATCGCTGATGGGTGGGTGGTTGGACTGGATGATCTTGCAGATCTTTTCCAACCTCGGTGTTTCTGTGATTCTGCGATTTTGCAATCCACCGACACGCCGCGGGGCCGCACGGCCTGCAGGCCAAGAGCTGGGCCGGGATCAGAGCGAGGCTGCCCACAGCTGGGGCACGGGGCTCAGCACGGAGCGGAGCGAGCGCAGGTTTGGGGCCTGCTGCAACGCAGAGGCAATAAGTACCTGCCAGCGGGCCTCGTGTCGGTGCTGAGCGGGAGGTGAGCAGCAGGTCTGGTCCAGGCTGCTCTGCCTCGTCCCGGCCACAGCCCTAATTCACGGAGATGTTGATCTCTCGTCCCTGGCGATGCATCAGCTCAGACTGGAGGAGAAGCAAGGGAGCGATGCGGTTTGTAGCGCTCCCAGTCACCCTCCGGCAGCCAGGCCCACAGGATCCAGCTCCTGTAGCTGCTCGACCAGCCGCCGCGGCACAGGGTGTGCTGAGCCCATGGCCCAGCGTGCCAGCTCTGCTGCTATCCCCACTCCCCCGGCCACTCCCTAGATGAAAGCACCGCAGCTCTGGTGCCATTTCATCTGGATTTGGCATCTTGTGCTGGAGCTGTTGGCTGTTCCTGCATCTCCGGGCTGCTGCCTGAGCTGCGTGCCCTGGCCAGGTGCAGCCCCTGCACCGCAGATTCCTCAGGGGTGGCTGCAAAAGAGCACAGCTCCCAGGATATCACCCACCTCTTCATCAGTGTTGCTTTCCTGCTCCTCCTGCTTCCTGCGCGGTTTCCCCTCTGCCTCCTTCCTGGCTGCTGCAGGCATAATGTTATCCAGCCAGCTCAGGTCATGCAGGGAGAAGATGAACTCAAGTGCCTTCCGGATTCCCACCAGGGCCAGCAGCTGGGGCCAAGGCAGAGCATAAGTCAGCATGGGCCAGGAGACTGCAGGTCAGTGGGTTTTAACCAGCCTGGTTACAAGAGACATCCTACCATCACTGGGAAAACAATGGCAGCCGCAGTGGACTTGATGACCCAGAGAATGGCCAGGCACAGCAGCTGGATGAAGGTGAAGAGGTGCACCCGGCACAGTGGCACATGGCGGAGGTAGAGGTGATCTGGCTGGTGTTTTGCAGGCATCAGAAGCAGCCGCACTCGGTCCGTAAACTGCAGGGACAGGATAGCAGGCTTGTCAAACACAGCACAGAGAAAGGATGCTTACACACTTGCAGTCAGCTGTCTCCCACCTCCCTGCTGTGACCACCCCATTGCCTAGCACAGAGGGGTGCCAGTGATTGCCCCCTAGGCAGGCCAAGCCCTCTGCCCTGACACTCCATGCTGTCGCCAGGGCTGCTCATGGGATCTGTTGCAGGGGAGCTGATCTGAACAGTGCTACAGAACCTGGGGCTATGGCCTCTGGCTATGACTGGACAAACTCTTTCCAGGCAGATGCTTAGGGAAAGAAAAAAAAAGAAAAAAGAGGTAGATATTTCTGGAGCCTGGATTGTCCCTGCCCAGGGTTTAGCAGGAGAGGGCAGAGTCGGCAAATCAGAGAGCTGCTGCGGGGACATCCTGCAGCTGTGGAGAGTTGCTCTGGGCCACCCATTGGTCCCCTTCCTTCACTCAGACTACCTGATCCACCAGTGCAGGAGTAATTCATGCTCCCCAACAACCCAGACGCCACTCCTTCCCTCTGCCCAATCTTAGGTCCAAATTCAAGGCATTGAGCTGTACTGCACAGAGTGAGCTGGTATTGAGCAAAGCGCTTCCTCCCTAAGACCCACGAGTATCCCAATACAATCCAGATGCATGCTCTGTGCAGTCCCACTCACCTGGATGCTGTTCAGAGCTGCCACTCCCATGTGCAGAAAGACCCCATAAAGCACCGGCATTGGGATATACTGCAAAACACCAGGGTGAGGCTTCAGCAGGGAATTTGCACTATCTAAGCTATGCCTTCTGCAAGACCAATCCATATATACAGATGCAGTGTTTGTTTTCTTCTCTTTGAATAGCACAATTTCATTTCATGTTTTTTTGCTTATCTTATGGCTCCAAGGGCATTACAACTGGATGTGTTCCTGTCTATGATAGGAACTGATGCAAGGACATCACCGTCTTCAGAGAGGGGACAAAAGTTCTGAGATGCTTGCCCCACTTTCTAGCTGGGAGTAACCCAGGCTAGAGATAAGGCACCAAGGCACTTGGAAATGGGTCATACAGCGTTGGATTTATAAATAGTGGGGTGTCTGATAAAGCAAATGCTTTGCTCTGGGATGAGAGACTGAAAGGCCATGGCCTAGCTACAGACAGCAGGCAGCTCTGTGAAACAGCACACCAAACTGTCCCCTGGCTGGCATGGTGTGGAGCTGCAGGCCAGATGGAAGGTAGTAGAATTCCAACCAAGGTTGGAAAAGATCTCCAAAATCATCCAGTCCAACCATCCACCTATCACCAATATTTCACACTAAACCACATCCCTCAGTACAACATCTAAACACTTCTTGAACTCCTCCAGAGACAGAGAGTCCTCCCACTCAGACAGCTGTAGAGAGCCATAAAGTCATCCCTGAGCCTCCTCTTCTCCAGGATGAGCAACCCCCATTCCCTTAGCCTCTCCTCATAAGGCCTGTGCTCCAGACCCCTCACCAGCTTTGCTGCCCTTCTCTGGACATGTTCCAGGGCCTCCATGTCTGTCTTGTAGGGAGGGACCCAAAACTGGACACAGTACTCAAGGTGCAGCCTCACCAGAGCTGAGTACAGAGGGATGATCACTCCCTGCTCCTGCTGGCTGCACTATTTCTGACACAAGCCAGGATGCCATTGGCCTCCTTGGCCACCCGGGCACACTGCTGGCTCGTGTTCAGCTGAGCATCAACCAACACTCCCAGGTCCGCTTCTTCCACACAGTCTTCCAGCCACTGCGCTCCAAGCCTATGGCACTGCCTGGGGTTATTGTGGCCAAGTGCAGGACCGGCCCTGGGTCTTGTTCAACTTCATCCCACTGGCCTGCGCCCAGCAATCAGCCTGTCCAGATCCCTCTGTGGGACCTTCCTACCTCTCCCCAGGCAGACCAACACCTCCTGCCATCTCAGTATCATCTGCAAGCTTACTGAAGGTGCACTCCATGCCCTCATCCAGGCCATCAGTGAAGATACTGAACAGGACAGCCCCGGTACCGACCCCTGGGGAGCACCACTTGTGACAGTCGCCAGCTGGATTCAGCTCCATTCACCACCACTCTCTGGGCCCGGCCCTCCAGCCAGTTCCTTACCCAGGAAAGAGTGTACCTGTCCAAGCCATCGGCTGCCAGCTTATACAGGAGAATACTGCGGGAGACAGTGTTGAAGGCTTTCTTGAGATCTAGGTAGACTATGTCAGCAGGTTGGCCTAGCTCCTGTCTAGCCAGTGAGATCAGCTGAATCAACTCTGGTGATCAATGGGGTGACATGTCACAGCCAGATTGCCCTCGCATCCAGGTCCTGCCACCTCTGGGCTGCTTTCTAGTCTAACCCCTCTTTCACAAGCACATTTCCCCATATCCAGCCAGATTCCTGCCGTCCAGTTGCTCAGCATGTTCTGTTTTTCCTCCCAGGCCTTGTGAGGCAGGGGACATCACCTTCTGCTGCCATTGAAGTGGGTGAGAAATGCCTAGGATTTGGCCAGCTTCCCTGGCATAAAGACAACCACTTGAGATTCATCACCCGCCCAAGCTGGGAGGCAGCTGCTGGTCCTGGGGCTAACAAAATGTTTGCACAGCCCCATCGACCAAGCTGCAAGCTGAAGCCTCACAGGCAGCCTCCCACTGTAACGGGAGGAGCAAGAAGTTTTGGTCTTTAGTTTCTCTGCCATCCTCAGGTCTGGGGACAGAGATGATGCTAGAGAAGGGACCCGACTTTCAAGTGACCCAGGTATGGCAAGAAGTACACCAGGAGCTCTGCCACTCTCACTGCAGTGCCGAGTAAGTGCTGGCACTGCTCTGGTGATGGGATAGAAGGTTGCAGGGGACAGAACTGGCTCCTCAGGGAAAACTGTGAGCTGGCTGCTGGGGCCACCTTGCAGAAATTGAGCCAATCCTCTGGCCTTTGTCAGACCCCTTCCCACACAGTGCAGTGCTCCTTCTTAGGTGTGTCTCTCTGTGCTGCAGCTGGAGGAGCGGTGGGGTTAGGAGCCACTCAGGTTGCAGTGCACCTTGCCCACTTCAGAAAGGAGGCAAAGACACCCTGAGGCCAACACC